GGTTGGTACAACAAAACCTAAGCCGAATGGAGACAGGAGAGTTGTGAGACTAGAAGGGAAGATAAGAAGGACTTGGTGTGTGATTATTGCAAGAAGCCTAAGCATACCAGGGACACTTGTTGGAAGCTTCATCCAAATCTTATGCCTACTCGGATAAGAAACAAGAAGGGGAATGCAAATATAGCTACTACGGGAGACTCTTCAGCCCCTCTCTCCCAAACTGATTGGAAACCCATTGCAGTAGCAGCAGTGATAACAGAATTGGAGAGGTTTGGACAGCTTATGAGTAAGAAAGATTCACCCAGCTCTAGCCTTCTAGATGGACAGCAAAATGCAGGAGCCAACTATACCACTTCCTTTGCACATACAAGTAGTTCATATGCAACTGCAAATCTTGCATCCACTTCAGGTAAGGAGGGACCTCCTTGGATATATTTGATGAGATCACGTGTTGAGGTTCCTAACTTAGTACGACAATTCCACCAGATGGTTCTCACACATTTGGAGTGAGAACTAAGGCTTTTAGATCAGATAATGCCAGAGAGTACTTTGAGAAGGACCTGACCACGTATCTCTTAGAACATGGTGTAGTTCATCAGAGCAGTTGTGCATATACACCGCAACAAAATGGAGTTGCTGAGAGGAAGAACAGACACATTGTGGAGGTGGCAARGAGTCTTATGGTGTGTGCTTCAGTTCTTGTGCAGTTCTTACAGCYGTGCATTTGATTAACTGTGTTCCTTCACGGACTTTAGGGTTTAAGGTGCCATTTAGCCTTCTTTTTCCAGATGGAGAGATATTTCATATACCYCTGAGGGTTTTTGGTTGTGTTTCTTTTGTTCACATTCTTGGCCCTCATCGCAAGAAATTGGATCCTAAGGCCAACAAATATGTTTTTCTTGGGTATGCTCAAAACCAAAAGGGGTATTGCTGTTATGACCCAGTGTCGATAAGCAGATTTTCCACTATAGATGTTACCTTTTTTGAATCCACATTCTTCTTCTCGAGTGGTTCTCCTCAGGAGAAGAGTTTTGGGAAGAACTCACAATCTGTTCCTCTTCCTGTTTCTGTGGTGCCTCCATCAGTTCAGCCAGCATCTACATCAGTTCAGCCAACACCTGCACCTCCAGTTTCATTACCTGAGCCACTACCGGCAGCCTCACAACAATATCAACGCTGGAAGATGATGGTTGACTCCACACATCCTCAACCTACACCACTCTCTATCAGTCCTTCTGAAACTCCAGATTCGGCAGATACAGTTCCAAGTATTCCTCTTGAGCCTGAACCTTTGCACTAGTAGCTAAGATGAGTTCAATTCGTATCATTTTATCTCTAGTGCCCACCTATTCATGGCCCTTGTTCCAGCTTGATGTCAAAAATGCTTTCCTCAATGGTGACTTACAGGAGGAGGTATATATGGACATTCCAGTAGGCTTTTATGAAAATGTTGGTAAAGAAAAGGTGTGC